GCTATTAATTTTATCTATGTGGAGAAAATATAAGCATTTATATGTTGGTTTCTGTCTTGATGCTTTGAAGAAAAAGTGTCTACAATATATGCATTTGAGTAGAGCATGGCTTGCCACACAACCTTTTGGGGCACAAAAAGGACAGCACCAGGAATGCTGTTGATTTGGTAAACCAATAGTCATCCTCGACCAGTATAGCCATTACTCATTCAATTAGTAGATGACGATGACCAGACTGGTCTATCGTCACTCTATGTATATATTATCTTGTACTGAATTGACTGGTTGACTTCTCATACGGTCTTTAGTCAGGTAAATTTCTTTTATATATAATCAATCAATTGTTGTAATTAATGGGGCATTGTAATTCCTTTAACTTCTATATTTTGTACGAAGCATGATATAAATAAATTTTCCCTTATCTAAATTCTTATGTGTATAATTAGGAAAGAAGATTTTCTGTCCTGGTATCTTCTCTTCTATCAAGCCAAACCAAGGATCATGTTAATCACGGTGAGTACACATACCTTCTGAAGTTTATAGTAAAAAAATTGTTAAGTTTCCTGGCTTTACATAGTGATGCATTCTTATATAGTAGTGCTGTTTTCTTTTTTAGATCGAAAACCCAGAGGCACACTCTTGCCTCATGGAAGTATGAGACTTAAGCAGCGTTAACCTGCAATAAGATTATTAGTAATTCTCTTATCTTATATTAAGAAAGCAAATGGAGAGAAACTGAAAACATTGTCGGTCATACGAGATTATTAATGTCTAGATAGTGATGATTTATTGTGGCTTGTCTCGATTTTAATTGGGTAGTCTTGGATTTGGGCAATAATGCTTAAGCATAATAAGATAATATGCTAGTCTTTAAGTTTTGAAAAAACTTGAAAGACTGGTAGGTTTACCAGTGTGAGAAAACCTATTTACCAACATCTTTAGGTTGTTGAAAGTGGATTTATAGGTTATTTTCAAACAAGGGATTTTTACATCGGAAGTAATTTAAATAAACATTAACCAAGAATGCTCCTTGTGACGGTAGAAGGATGTTATCCACCACCTAAAAGATAGCAAAGCGTTAGAAGAAGAAAAAGGGAAAAGAATGCAGGAAATTGGAACACCAAACATATTTTTTAGAAAACATGACATAACAAGAAAAAGAAGTAGAAGGAAGGAAGTTATGGATAGTTGCTATATTTCTTGATATGGATGACTGAATTCTGAAAATGAATATAATGCAAGTTAATTGCTAATTTAATAAGCAAATATGCAGCCATTGTACTTTTTGCCCCAAGATTTTGTTTACCATCTATCTTGATGTATGCGATTCATATGTGGCAGTTGCTAAAAAACGTTGGTCTTTGTCATATTTTCAACTTATTTATGAAACGGTTCTAGTTACAAGTGTGCTTTAAGAATAGGAGCAATCCAACGTCTTCTTCAAAATGGTCTGCTTACTGCTGATGCAATCAACAATGCTGATGAAGAAACCATCAAGAAATTGATTTACCCTGTATGTTCCTTGTTTCTTTTAAAGATATTGCCTCCCCTGTGATTCAAATAGTTTGGATTTAGTGTCAAGTTAAGGAATCTTATGAAGATTCCTGTATTTCCTTAGCTTGCACTTTATGGTGTCAATTTCTTTTAAGTTTATGCTTGTTTTGTGATTGTATTAATTGAATCTGTGATTGAACCTATGGATATTCTTTTTTCCAGGTTGGGTTTTATACAAGAAAAGCCACTAACTTGAAAAAAATTGCAAATATTTGTCTCACGAAGTATGATGGAGACATACCTAGCTCAATTGAGCAACTACTCTTACTTCCAGGCATAGGTCCTAAGATGGCTTATTTGGTATGTGTAATAGCTTTTATAATTCAAACAGTATGTTTTATTACTTTTCTGAAGTAAATTTTGTTAGTGGCACAATAGGTTATGAATTGTGGATGGAACAATGTCCAAGGTATATGTGTAGATACTCATGTCCACCGCATTTGCAATCGGCTTGGTTGGGTGTCAAGATTGGGCACAAAACAGGTTTCTTTTAAGTTTTGTGGCATCACATTTTATGTATGGGGTATTATTACCTAATTTATTTGTTCTGACTAATCCTCTTCAATTTGCTAGAAAACTTCGACACCTGAAGAGACAAGAGAGGCACTGCAACGGTGGCTTCCAAGGGAAGAATGGGATCCAATAAATCCTCTATTGGTATGTATGTCCAAATCCTACTTATAAACAATTTGCTATGTATGGCAAATTAGTGTAAGATAGGATTCACTTCAGACACAGATTGTGAGTGTGCCCACTCAACAAATTTTTCATTTTGGCTTCTTATTTCTTACAACATTGTAGCATATTAATGTCATACTCTTTTGTGGCACAGGTAGGGTTTGGACAGACAATTTGTACACCTCTACGACCTCGTTGTGGAGAATGTGCTATAAATGAGTTATGCCCATCAGCGTTCAAGGAGACCTCAAACTCAAGCCCATCTTCCAAGTCCAAAAAGTCCACACTCAACAAGAAGCTTTAACCTAATTTGTTCTTTTGGATTTGGGTTACTTTTTTTTTTGGGTCTCAATCAGCCCCACATCTAGAGATGTATATTTTGTAGAAATATTCGTACTTAACATTGGAGGGCAAGAGGATCTGAAACCTGGTTTTATTTATGGAGACTTGATCTTTTTACTTTCTCATCTTTATTTATTTATTTTTTGGCAGATTCAACGTTCAGGGATTATGATAGGGATTCAAGAAGAAAAAGAAAAATGCACATTTTCATTTTTCATTTGTAGATCTTACGACGATGTGAGCCTGGGGCATTGAGCTGTCCTTGTTAATTATGATCTATTTACTGACATAATTAATCGCTTGATTGATAAGTTGTTTTTAATTTGAAAATATATTTAGCAAAAATTTAAACTTTTTTTTTCCGGATACATGATAATATAAGGTTTGAATTTATAACATCATGCAAGAATTTTCAAATCCCTCACCATTAACATGTTCACTTTTTAAATATTATAACTAACTATATCAAAATTTATATGATTTTAAAAGAAGATATATGGATAGTTTTATATTATAAGGCATGTGAAATAAAACTCAATTCAAGCAGGTGAATAATAATATTATAAACTAATTATTTTTAAGTGAACGCTTCATCGTGCTATAATTAAAGCATGAAAATGGTCTTTGTATTGAAATTTAACTTTCTATTAAAACAGTAGGAACAGTAAAATTTGAAGTGCCGAAGCTTTAATATATAAATTTTTTAATATGTTCCAGGACCTTCATGATTCTTCCACTGAAAAATTGATACCTGAGCCAATTTTTTTTTTCCTTCTCTTTTCTCTCTCCTCACCCTTTTCTCTCTTTATCTCATCTCAATCCCACCAATTTTTTTTTTGCTCTCGGAGCACACTAACTTTGGTCCTAATACATGTCGTGAGTCAACTCCTGGCAATCTTTTTTTTTTCTCTCCCGAAATCATGATTTCCAAGAATATAATGAAAAAATCATTTTTTCAAAAATATTATCAAAAGCTATTTACTAGGTCAAAATATTATCGGAATTTTATTCCAAAAAAAGTATAAAATATTTGCAACGAATGAGATTCTAAGAATACCACCATTTGGTTGTATTCTTAGGTGACATTTAAAAAAAAAAAATTATACACAAAATAAAATTATGGAAAAATCAGATTTTTGAGAAAATTTTCAAAAATCTTATAACAAACACGGATAAATAAGGACTTCCATCTCTTCTGTCATATCCGAGTGCAAAGACACCGGAAGAAGCATTGGTACATATATTTGGTGAAGCTAGAAGAACAACTCCATCCATTCTCTATTTACCACAGTTTGATGTTTGGTGGAAAACTGTGAGTACATATATTAATTATCTGCACCTGTATGCTAAATAAACTGATTTGTATGTCTGAAATTTATATCTCATTCAGACTGGTTTCCTGTTATTGTATTGCTGCTTTAATGCAACCTGAGTTTGATTGGATTAATAATCTTGCAGGCTCATGAACAACTCAGAGCTGTTCTCCTGACTTTGCTAGAAGAATTGCCATTTGACTTACCTATCTTACTACTCGGGACATCCTCAGTTGCACTTGCTGAAGTAGAGGAAGTCCCTCCTTCAGTTTTCCCTCATCGCTCAGTGTACGTTTGATCTAATTTACAGCAAATATTTGATACGAGTTCCAAGCTAATGTTTATTTTTCTTTATACCAGCACTCTGGCTTTATGCAATTTTTTTTTTCTAGATTTGGGGTTTTTTGTATGTTGGAAATTAGTAGTGGAGTTCAACACGAAGATTTTTTTCCTTAACAGAAAAAGTCTTAAGTTTGCTTATGTAGAGCGACTGTTTTTCATTGTCAAAGTTACCCTTTGTAATTTTTCTCAAAATCATAATTTATTGAAGGATAGATCAGTGGTCTACATCACATTACTTTTCATACATCTCTACTACTATTAGTTAAATGTATTTTGGAAAATTGAACGAGAGGTAAAAATCTCAGCATTGCAAATGCTAATGCTTCCTATCAGTATTAAGTGCCCTTTCTTTTTACCAAAGTTTCTATTGTTGCTTATTCTTACAAGTATTTGAATAACTGTAGTTCAAAGGCTAAGGCTGAAAATTTCTAAGAATGTTAGTTGAGTATTCTTATTCAAATCTGAAAAGTATTCCTCACGCCTGGGCTCTTGTTTCTGGTTATATGCTCACCCTCTATTTCCCTTTTGAACAGTTATCAAGTGAGCATGCCATCTACGAAAGATAGGAATTTGTTTTTCAATCATTTAATAGAAGCTGCTATGTCAGTATTGTTGGAGGGAATCAGCAAGAAATCCCAGGATACAGGATGCCTTCCTGAACTTCCCCAGGCACCAAAATTGGCTAGTGGTCCGAAGGTATCTGAGCTAAAAGCAAAGGTGGAAGCAGAGCAACATGCACTTCGGAGATTGCGAATGTGCCTTAGAGATGTTTGCAATTGGTATGTCAACCTATGCTTAATTTACAATTGTTGGCTTCGCTTGGCACATTGATACTGTTAGAAATATAATATAAAATCATTTATGTGTCTTCATCTAATAGCTTAAGTTTTTGGGAGAGTTGGCTATTGACATGGTATTAGAGCCTCTTATGATCAAATGATTTAGAGTTCAATCCTTGCTGTCTCATTTTACTTATAAATATTGTTAAATTTCTTAGCACAAGATAGGTGGATATGTGTGTTGTCCATCTTCAAGCTCAAAGGACTGTTGCGTGATGGGACATGTTAGAAATATAATATAAAATCATTCATGTGTTTTCACCTAATAAAAGCTTTTGGAAGAGTTGGTTCTTGACATACACCTTTAATTAAATGCATGCAGCCTCTCTCTCCCCCCTCTCAATATATTTTTTGTTTCCCTTTTGCAGGATATTGTATGACAAGCGATTTAATGCCTTCCATTTTCCAATCTCAGATGAAGACGCACCTAATTATCGCTCAATCATACAGAACCCAATGGACGTGGCTACCATCCTGCAGCATGTTGACAACGGGCATTATATTTCATGTGTTGCGTTCCTGCAGGACATTGATCTTATTGTTTCCAATGCAAAGGCATGCATCCTGCGCCTTAAGTTTTTTAAATTTTGCTTGGGTTGGGTCCTATATATGTATAGATGATCGTTCTGTAACCAAGTACAATTAGGGCTGAGCTAAATTGGTTGAAAATGCTTCATATTACTTTTAATATTTAAAGCATGTCGCAAGTTTGATCCTTCTTTCCACAACTCAGGCTTACAATGGAGAGGACTACAATGGCACCAGGATTGTCAGTAGAGCTTGTGAGCTTCGCGATGCGGTGTGTGGACTTTCTTTTGTCTTAAGGTTTACGTTGGTGTTTTTTATGATTATTGTCTGGAAATTGCTCCTGATCTTATTCCTTGTTTTTTTTTTCAGGTGCATGGGATGCTTTCACAGATGGATCCAGCACTAGTTGCATACTGTGACAAGATTGCTAGCCAAGGTGGCCCACTTCATCTTCCTGATGAATTAGGGTATTCTACCTTCCCTGCTACTCCTGTTGTACAGCTGGGTACTGCTACTAGAACGAGTGCTCGACTTCGCCATGTCCAACCTGAGGTTAATATGGACCAGAGTTATGACGTATTGAAGCGGAATAAGAAGATCACGGATGTTGTGCATGCAGGTATAAAATGCCTTTGCAGTATGAATTATTTCTCAAATGTATGACGGTTGTAATACAAATGGTTTCTTTAAATGTCATTTATACATACTAGTATTGCTGTTTTGCTATCGTGATTCTGAAACATTAGGAAGTTATACTAATTAAGAAAAGCAATAACGAAGATGGAAGTGTGAATATTTTGACCAGAACCGTTCTTTTGGTCTTAAGCATGGGTGAGGCATGATAGTGTTGACTTAGAGAGGCATCTTTAAGAATTGTGGATTCTCTCTATACTTCTTCAAGTTGTTGCTTGTCATGCACTTGTTTTTATATGATTGATTATGCTTATAAACAAAATGATATTGGTGTTACTTGATTTCCAATGATTAATTTCTTGTTCACTTTTTTCATTCTTCCTGTAAACTTCCTGTTAAAATGCTGATTTTGAAGTTTTTTTTTTTTTTTTTTTTTTCTCAATTGGGTTTTATAGCAGAAGACAAGTCACAAGATTCTGTACCATCAAAGTCTTCCCAGGAGCATCACGCAAATGACGTAAATTCTGAAAGGCTGGACCCAATGTCAATTGATGCAAATGTGCAGGGAACTTGTACAAATAGCCTTGCTGATAGCAGCAGTTTTGATGATGTCGCAATGCTAGATGGTGACTTTTCAATACAAGAGGAGTCTGTCAAGCAGCTTTTTGTCAAGCAGCTTTTTGTCAAGCGTATTGAAAATTACAGCATTCCACAACTTGAAAGGCTTTACACGAGAATTATGAAGGGCGTTTTTGAAACCAAAGATAAAGTAACGAATGATGATATCAAGACTTCGGTTTGGGTGTTTTTATTGAATTTTGTAGAGGATGATGCAAATTTCCGACTAATCGGTTTTCCCTTTCTCCCTTGATGATTTAGGTAAAGGAAAGATTTTTACTGTAAAGTCGGGAAGATTGTAATTACAGAAGATTGTAATTACAGGATTTTAGGATTAGATGTCTCTGCAGACTTGCGAAAGCCTAGAGCTTGAAAATGTTAGCCAGAGTGAGCTAACTTTTTTTATTGCTCTCAACTACTAACTACCATGTCCTACTGTAAAGTAAATATTTTTATGTTCACTAGCATATCGCTCATTTTTTTAAATGCCAATTATTCCATTTATTTCAAAATAATTATAACTTCCAGAGGTTCTAATTTGGGAAAAGTGAAATGAAAAAGCATTAATAGAGTAAGAAGGTAATATAAATAAAATTATTTAATAAGTATTTTAATTTGTCAAATATTAAACGACAATTTATTTGACCAAAAAAAAAAAACGAAAGAATTCGAAGGTTTTATTGTAATCATTTAAATAAAATTCTACTTTTTATCACTGACACGAATGATGCCGCTCATAAATAAGGAATGAGTGACAGTGGTGTGGATTCTTTGGTGGTGTAATTGTTAAATTTTATAATCTTAAAACTACACAAATAAGATTTATTCTTCATTCATTGATATTAATCTAGTACTCATTTTTTTGTCTTGGATAGAACGTAATGCTTATCAAGAATTTTTTTTATTAATAATAGTATATAGACATTTACTACAAAATCAATATGTAATGAATATTTGAGAACTTTCGATAGATATCGATGCTAACTTTTTTTCTTTTTTTCAATAACTCCTTTTATTCACTTGCATTCATCAGTAACAAAATTCTAAATTTGTATTGAATAATGACACTGTAGGATTATTTATTATACGTTGGTCTTTTATTATAATTTTTGGACAATAAATTGTTTACCCCCTTTTCACCAAGTATATGGGTGATTTATTGACTATTGCTAATTTGGTCGATTAGCTGTAAAGAACGGGCATTAATCCCATCTAAACTACATTAGGTGAGTTTAAGGACTACCAAAATAAAAAATAACAAATTCTTTTTTAATAAAAAATTAGAAGAAAAAAAATACCAATATCAGGAAATTTTGCACGTGGGATATGTTGTGTGTGCAAGAACTATTCCATGTGACACTCAAAACATTAAATATTTATTTAGATTAATTGGAATTGGTATTTTTTATATTTCTTTGGTAAATTCTTGCTGAGTTTTAGCATGGTGGCAAACAATTAGCTCACATGTCAAACATTAATTGAAAATCCCTGTTTCACAATTCACACACATCCGGGTGTTGATTCCAATACAACCATATGAACAGTGCAGTTTTCTTCACATTGTTATTGTACAAGAGAAAACTAGGAACCAAAAGGGAAGCATTGAAGCATGCAATTTCTATGCTTCCAACACTATTGTGCTTATTTTGGCATACTTCTTAAGTTAGTCAACATCTGAGCAGCAGATGATTCTCTTGCTTCACGGGGATTGGAACACACCTTACCCCCACATGAACACTCAAACTCCACTCCTTTAACAGTTACATTAGCTTGGAATCCACCTTCAAATGGAACACTTGTTAATAAGTATCATAAGGTGAACAAAAAAAGTACACTGATATGTGAAATGATAAAATCTCAATTGTATCTCATTAAATTTAATTAAAAAGGTATACTGTTAATTGTGCATTACTCAATTCATGAGAAGAATTATGCCGCTGATGGATTCAACTTCTAGATTAGATACTCTTACCATCTGATTGAGATAGATGATAAGTTGGTAGGACCCAGTTGTTTTCATGACATACACCATCTAGTTCCTGCACGATTAACAGAATTTAAGAAGTACTTGTTTTTAATGAAGATAAACGGGATGGTTGGTATGTGCTGCTAATTAATAAGTTATATTCTAGTATGTTTCTTAAGACAATAGATCACTCCCAAATATATATATATATATATATATATATATATATATATATGGGACCGATATTCTTATACTGGTGTAAGAGTTAGAAGTTTTACATTCAATCTTGACCATTGATCCACTTGTATCCAATGGTTCACATCATTAAAAAATTTGAACCCTTAGATATAAGTGAGATCAACGGACAAGATTAAGAGTGTAACTTACACTGGTGTAAAATGATATATATATATATATATATATATATATATATATATATATATATATATATATATATATATATATATATATATATATGGGCTTAACATTTCTGCAGCTGCCGTAGATAGTGTTATCTACAGCTGAAGCAAAAAAGTGGGCCCCACGGCTTTTTTAAAAAAAAAAAAAAAACTCAGGATCCGATGCCGTATCCTAGGATCCGGACGCGGATCCTTGCTTGCTGTAGGTACAGCAGCTGCAGAAATCATTTTTGTATATATATATATATATATATATATATATATATATATATATATATATATATATATATATATATATATATATATAAAGAAAAGAATATATCACAGAACAGAGATAGGTAACTAATATGTCAAATGGGGCTTGCCAAAGATGTATACAACACAAACTGAAAAAGGTTAAGATCCCACACTGCATTCTTTTTTTTTTTTATACAAGAATAGAAACAGCAGAAACAGACAGAAATTAAGACATAAAAATAAAAAGATTAGCCCTTTCCTCTCCAAAGATGAGAAATGTCCATCATGTCGCCCGGAGAAGAAGCTTCAACGAACCAGGAGGCTCGTCGAAGATAACATTATCTGGTAATCCAGAATTATTGAGGGGAAAGTTAGCTAAAAAATCAGTAAAGCTGTTGGCTTCTCTAAATGCATGTACAACCAAAACCTGCCAGTCGGGATTAAGAAGTGCTCGTATCTGAGTCACCAGACAAGACCCGCGAGTTGCATCACCACATTTGGTGAGCAAAGCAACCACCGAAGTGGAATCGCTCTCAATAATTAAACAACGCCAACCTCTCTGCCAAGCTTTACTCCTATTTGGGTATAATATATTTGGAGACTTGCATGGATTAATAACCTCTCCATACTCCACCATAACTTAGTTTTCGTTGTACAGTAAAAATGTGTCCAGCTGTAAGGACGAAACCACCCAATACAAATAGTTTTTAAATCACTGTATTCTCGTATCAGTATTGAATCATATATTCATGTCTGTGCCAGAAATTAGCAACAAAAGAGAATAATATACCCAATACAATGCTTCCAAGAAATTAGCAACAACCATTTGATATTGTGTGCACAGCACTAAAGAGAATAATAAAGCATCGTATATGTGGTAAACTATTTTCTCCTTTGGTATCAAATGCCTGAAATTACTTAGTGATGGCTTCAATGCACCATAACTACAAACACCAATATATACCTATTATATTGATAAATAACCCAACAAAACATATTTTCAAGTTTAGCGTAGTCATAAAAAAAATTCAAATGTAAAAACTAGTAAGTAAACAGAACATGTCTTGCCTGGCATGGATTTTGCAAGATAAAGACAGCCTCTGACAATTTTTTCCTCTTAAAAGATACGCTTTGTTGTCCACACGTCCTTTCTTGATTCCTTAACCATATATCATTACAACCTTCTATAATGGATTCTACCATTAATTCATAGTCATCTTCCCCATCTACTTTTGTCATGACACAAAAATAAAATCAATGGTTGTTCATATTTCACTTGGACAAAGACTAAACAAGAAAGGGATAAATCACACTTTACGTAAGTCAATTATTGTCTCAGGCTCTAAGCCTAGTAGCAAAAACTCGCCAGGATTGTACATTGTAGGATTGAAAAGATAGCATATAACTAGTGCTATGCAGTTGTGAATCTTCTGATGCAAAGGTAAAAGAGCTGGCGAGTGGCAATCATAAATACATAATTTTCAAATAGCAAATCCAAGATCTTCAAAGAAGAGCCTCAGTTTACGGTTAGATTAAGTTTGAGATGATCTTCATAAGTCAGATAACCAAACATAAATCGAATGGAATTCAAATTCAAGGATAAACACTATCAATAAATTGCTTCTTGCATCTAATATGCTTGTTGAATTTATAATATCAGGATTTTAAAGTTACATGCTTGTCAAATTGATCAAATTCTGACACCACTCATTCCCTATAAAAAAATTTATGCTAGTTGAATTCATTAGACCTGGACAATTCTCAGTACCGCGGGGGGACACCCCAAGAAACAAACACAATAAAGAGAGAAAAAAAGAAGGAAAAAGTCAAACTGATAGAAGAATGCACCAGAGAAAAAAAATAAAAAATAAAACACACAGTGGATGGAAAACATACTCTTTTTGTCCCGATTATTTATTTATTTATTTTTGGCATTTAACTAGATTCTTGATTGAATTTAATTGTATGATATCCCAAAGAAAATGAATCATTTGTTAAGATGCTATTGAAAAAAGGTGTTGCTTATTGGAATAAGATCTATATCATTAATAGTAAACTGTTTTTTTTAATAAAATATCTTTTGCATATTTTTCACAGCTGGTGGTTTAGGTCATGGCGCGGCCCATGCCGTGTTCTTCTGCATCAGCCTTTTGACTCCTTCATTTGGTCCTGCTACATATTTCATTGACAGGTGTTCACAGGTTCCATTTTTCCTTCTTTCTGGTGAGATTTTCCCCGCTTCTGGTTATAATATTCATGTATATAAATGGCACGAGATTCTACAGCTTCAAAATTTTGGAAATTTTTGTACCTGAGGCTTAACTGCATTTTTATTTCATTAATGTGAATCTATAGAGATGTATTAGAGTTGGGATTAGAGTTGGGTTTAGAGAATAATGAAGTGGACGTTCGTATTAAGCCTGAGTTCTTGTTCATAAAAAACAGTAGCTGGGATTTTTGAATTTATATAGACATTGTGTTTTTAGTATTTCATTTCTTTCATCCAATTACTTTACCCTTTTTTTATACATTGCAGCAATTGTTGCTCTTGCCTTTGTCACAATCCACACTTTCTCAATGGTCATTGCATTTAATGGGTACGCTGAGGGGAACAAAGTGGACCAATATTTTGTTCCCATTGTTCACGTTGTTGCAGGAATGGTGGTAAAATCTCACTCTTTGCAAACATAATTTTATGCACTATAA